GTTAAAATATTCAGCAATTCAGCTATGAAGAATTGTGCAAATCCTGGCATTGCATATTTCACGGGGCAATAATTTGTTACCAGCTTATAAGATGGTAACAAAATTTACCGGTTACAAGAGTATACAGAATGCAGAACTTTATTTACTGGTTACAAATATTTTTATTACCAGCGCAGACTAGACCTGTAATTGGAAATTATGATTACTCAAAAGTTCGGTTACTTGAGTAATCAAGATTTTGATTAACCAAAAACAAAAATATTTGAGTAATTTCCTTTATAATTAATCAACATTATGAGTAAAATGAGTAATCATCATTTCAAAGTACTCTTTACATATAAAGTAGTTGAAGTTCCTTGATACTTGGAAAACAACGTTTCTGTTTTCAAAAATTAAAATTTAATATTTATTTGTCAATGTTATTGTGGCTTGTTAACATTTTATTTTTAATATTTTTATTGAGCTTTGTACCACGATTGTTTGTGGTACTGAAGTCTAGTGTGTGCTGAAGTCTAGAAAAAAAGAAGTCTGATGAGGAGATGTGGTGATCTCCGAAATAGTGCTATAACTTCTACCGCTTAGACTTTGTTGCTTTTTCAATTTTTCCTAATAAACAATCGTGGTACAAAGCTCAATAAAAATATTTAAAATTAAATATTTTTTTCATATGCAGAATATAAAAAAAGAAAATAAGCATTTTCCACAGCAAACTTTTTTAACGAGCAAAATTAATTTTTTTGGGTAATCATATTTAAATTAACTCGATTAATCATCGTTTTGAGTAATCCAAATCTTGATTACTCGAGTAGTTGATTAACCGAATAACTGATTAACCAACTTGCTCGAGTAATCGAATAATCGCACCGCCCTAGTACCTCTAATTCAAGCAAAAAGTAAACTGGAGCGAAATAACGAAAATATTTGGAGTAACTCGGAGTGCTGCGAAAAATTCGGAATAATTCGAAGTGTTTTCGGAATAATTCAAAATTTTCGGAGCGATTAGGAGTTTTACGCAATAAGTAAATAAGTAAGTTCAGCTTAATTCGCAGTTTTTCGACGCGATTCAAAGTTATCGTAGTAATTCGGAGCTCTTCGGAGTAACTAACAAATTTCGGATCAGTTCAGAGTGCTTTGGAATTTTCGAAATAAATCGGAGCTTTACGGAGCACCTAAAAAAATTTCAGATTAATTCAAAGTTTGTAGGAGTTTAGTATTCTAACCTGAAAAAATTGCCGCCTAGTTTTTTGAGGTTAGGGCTGAACCCAGACGCGCTAGACCGATTCTGATGTCTGAATGACGTGCATGTGAGACAGTAGATGGCTATAACTGATTATACATACATATATACCCAATGAGGAGTGAGTGGTGTTGACTCTAACCAAGATATTTATGCCCTTTATAGTGAAGGGATGATCTGTCTTATGTTCCCTACTACTTCCCAGCACTTATGTATGCACTTCTATTATTTCCTAAGACCACATCAATGAAGCTGAAAAAGTTCGATATTCCATATGAAATAGTAGGGAAGTTTGATTCTATATTTTGAAATCACTTCGAATATACAGGGTGATTCAATAAGATCGCAGATTTTCCTTTTTAAATAAAATAACACAATTTGTCGAAATGATGGTTTTTATTTCATTATGTTTTCAAAGTCTATCGTATTTATGTATGAATCACAATATCTGTTAAATGTCCACCACAATCATCTGGCAACACTCAGGATGCTCATATCAAACTTTTCCATGAGTTTTCGGCATAATTTGGGCTGTCGTATCATTTATAACGCGTATGATTTCGTTCATCAGCTCTGCATCGACCAAACTTTTCACGTTGTCTCAAAGAAAGAAATCCAATGGTTTCAAATCGCAAGACCTTGGCGGCCATTTGACCTCGTTCTTGTGTGTGAATGTGCATCCTGGCCAGCGTTGACACTTTTTTCTAATTTTTTTTCGAATTTGTATATTTTGTTTTTTGTAAACAAATAACATTTTAACACTAATATGGATGGTATTTATTAGAGCAACAGAAGCCAAATCAACAATTTTAAGAATTTTATTCTGTCTGTCTGTCTATCTATCTGTTAGTATGTTTGTACGCACATCACTAATACAGGGAATTGAATGCAATTTTCACCGATGCATTGCTAGAGGTCTAACTTACTTAAGTACAGAAAGAAACAAATTTAACAGTTGCCACCTGTTTGAAAATTGCAGTTTAAGTAAATTGATAAGATACATATAAATATTGCAATCTGGCTGCAAAAAGAAATAGGTTTAAGAAGGCCTACACCCGAAAATATTTTTGTGGGGGGTTGCCACCTGTATGAAAAATTGTATTAAATTAAATTGATAAATTAAATGAAATATTACAATACGGGTATCAAACAGCACAAAAATACGTTTAAGGCGCAGTGAAGCACACCGGCTATTTGCCAGTTTTTCACTAAAATTTCATTGAATATTTTCTCTAATTTCTCATTCTTCAAATAAACATCAACAAATCCGCTTTTCCACCTTGTTTAATTATGCGCGACTCCCATATTTTATTTAATTCTCCAGAAATTCGTATCACTATTTGCCACTATTAACGTTAATTGCAATTTCTAGCGAAAAAATCGCATTGCAGTTTCACTTTATCATACCGCCTATCTGCACTCAAATGTCTTACATTCTAAGCTGGCGCATTGTGGAGCAAAGTGACTGCAGCACCAATAGCAGCGGACATTCACATTTCGCCAGGCCGCTGAGTAAATAAAATTAAATACAATAAAAATTGAATAAAAAAATAACTAAATAAATACTTACCAGTAAAATAGATAGCAAGGCTGTGCACAGTCGACCGACCCACCAATCGACTGACTCCCTGACAGTCAGACACAGAGCGACACACATTAAAGTCAACAATCAGCATTTCACTTTACAATTTATTAGTGTTGCTATTTTTTCGTTTTATCCACTACATACATACATACATATATGCATAAGCGTGCTTGGGGCACTTTTCCGTTTAGCAACAAAACGAAAATGCTTAGCAACACACTTTTGCTGCAACACTCAACATCAAGCACAAATGTTGCAACTAATGTGTTGCACTTTTCACTGCCGCGCATTTTATTTATAGTTCTTGATACGAAATGTGTGGTGGATATGGCTGTGGTTCTGTATGTGTGTTTGTACTAACACATTTACTTAGGCGTGACTTAAGTATTTACTTGTATAAGTGAAATGGTATTTCGTCAAAGCTTTAATTCATAATTCTGTTTTATGTAATATACAAAAAAAAAGCACATCAAGATTTTTACCAGTTTTGACTAATTTTCTTTAGCTTTTTTTAAGGTTCATTATTTTTATATAAAAGTACTATAGCTCTTTATCCAACAAATACCATATAAATCTAGATATCAGACTTTGTACAAAAGTTATAAAAAATCCACAAACTTTTCATCACAACTCGAAACATTTTAATTTTTATTTCAAGAATAATTTTTGGAATGAAGTTTTATAGCTTATTAAATTCTAGTATAATAAAGTGCAAGTTTAAAGTTGCTAAAAAATCGCGTTGATTTTTGATAATTTGTTTTTTTCTGATGGTGTTATGTACTCTTTTCCATATAACAGTTTACTTTGTACTTAAGCAAATTCAAACTTGCACTTTATTATACTAGAATTTAATACGATACAAAACAGCATACTAAAAACTATTATAGAAGTTAAAATTAAAACGCTTGGAAATGGGATGAAAACTTTGTGGAAATTTTATAATTTTCGTACGAAGTCTGAAAACTAGATTTAAGTTTATGGTATTTATTAGATAAAGAGCTATTGTTTTATATAAAAATAATGAACCTTAAAAAGCAAAATAAAAGCAGTCAAAATTGCTGTTGGTAATAACTATACCAACTTTAAATTTTCTTATGTAGCCAACAAAGGGTGCCTCAATGACCTTGAAATGCGCTGCCGAATCCCTTTGAGACTGACAAAAAAATTGATGATTTTCATCATGACAACTGACGCTGGTTTGGTTGGTTGGCCAATGCTTTGGTTCATATATGGACAATATGCTTCTAGAGTAAAATATAAATATTTCATGGGCATACTGTAAATTTATATCGAGAAACGTAAAGTTTGGTGCCAGCAGCTTTTTCGACAAGAGAAAAAATTTTGGTTGGTGCCCCCAACCCTGCCTCGGAAATTTTTTTTTTGGACCACTCTAGTGTGCATAAGGATGTGAATGAAAAAGACTATCAATGCGTTAATATTTGAGTCTAATAAGTATCTCATTATTCAGTGAAATAAAAGCTCTGATCCAGTACTGCATGAACTTACAGGATTTTAAGGAAAGGTCCAAGCCAAGCTTTTCACAACTTTCGTATTCAATGATTGAGCTTTTCAGATAAAACACGTCGGGGTTACAGTTACTTTTCATTCATAAATTAAAGTTACAAACTGACATGAAATGATTTTGTGCCATTAATTTATTAACTCAGCTTCTCAAGTCTTAACCCAGTCATGAAAAATAAAAACGTAAACAAATATGAAGGCAAACAACGCTGGTATTTTCTGTTGAAAAAAAAAAAAAAATCAAGTAAACGAAAAGTAGCTCAATTCAAATTCTCCCACATTTGACCCAATTTGGACATCGCTTCCAAGCCATCAAAAAAGTGGCTGCAAATCACGTAAAAAGTATGCAGTCATGCGAAAGTAGTTTATCTGCATTTTTATATGCACATCTACATTCAGAAATAACCTCAAAATACTTGAAACTTCAACTTCAACTTGACTGACTTGGCCGCTAAAAATTCTTGAGAATCGTGCTCTTTTTTTCCTTTTGGTTTTTTGTGTGTTTGTCAGGGGGAGCAAAAAGCAAAGTTCGACAGACTGATTGGCGTTCATAAGCATTGGTTGACTGACTGGCTGCTGGCTTGTTCGCCTTCGGTATTCCAAGACCGTCGTGTGTCCACAGCAGGCCACACTAGCTGCCGGCGGGTAGGCCACGCGCAGGCGCGTCGTGCTACATACAGCCGCATGAGTTTACTGCGATCCAGTCGAGAATAATGCGTTGCTTCGCGATGACCCAGTTTTTCGACCAGCCGCGTGAGCAGTCAAGCGTTGCTGTTACGTTTTGGTGCTGTCGCTGGTGCAGATGGAGCAGAAATGTGATGCGCATGCGCGTTTGGATGTTAATCTCTAGCTTACGCTCGATAACCGACAGCGCAGCATTCATTACAAGTTGGCTAGTTTTGTTTTTAATATGCATTTTTTTCTGATTAAGATTTCGTTTTTTTCCAGGAAAAGCTATGTTGTTTTTGATATCTCTTTTCATCGCTATTGCTAGTCGTAATGCATTAAGCAGAGAGCCTAACTCGAAGTCCACCTCGAGTTCTTTGAAGCCATATCCTTCAACTGCAAGACTGTAAAACTATCGACATTGTAGGCCAAAATAAATTCCGCAATTAGTTTTGGTTTTTTGAACGAAGATGTAGTGAGAAATCTCATCTCAAACCAACAGTCACTTGATGACAGTTATAAATTTGTGGATGATGGCGTCATCTAATAAGGGGGCCATTGGAGAGAAAGATTCTGCGAAAGATTAAACAGCATCGCATAGTGACTATGCCTGATGGACCATGTTGTAGAAAAGGTTAGAAACTAAACTACTAACTAAAGAAATAAGAAGAAGAAGGAGAAAGAAAATTAAGAAATAATAAAATGAAGAAATAAGAAGAAAAATAAGGACAAACACGAAGAAGAAAACACGCGATGAAAAAGAATTAGGGTACAAAAATTAAAGAAGAATGAAGAAGCAGACAGAAGGGTAACAAGAAGCAGAGATAATGAAGAAGAGAAGAAAGAAGGAGAATCAAGAAATAGGAAGAAGAAACAAGATTAAGAAGAAAGGAGGATAAGATGGACAAGAAGAAGGAAGAACATGAAGAAACAAGTAAGAAAGTCTAAGTTTCGGGCGGAGCCGAATATTAAATATCCGGCGCAAGTACTAAATATATGTTTTTCACCTTTCCGAAAGCTANAAGAAGAATGAAGAAGCAGACAGAAGGGTAACAAGAAGCAGAGATAATGAAGAAGAGAAGAAAGAAGGAGAATCAAGAAATAGGAAGAAGAAACAAGATTAAAAAGAAAGGAAGATAAGATGGACAAGAAGAAGGAAGAACATGAAGAAACAAGTAAGAAAGTCTAAGTTTCGGGCGGAGCCGAATATTAAATATCCGGCGCAAGTACTAAATATATGTTTTTCACCTTTCCGAAAGCTACCGCTACATGGTAAGCCGGGGTGTATAAATTTTTAGTAAATTAGCGTCCTTAAATTTCGAAATATTGAAGTTTGAAGCATTTCTGAAATTTACCGTTATATTAAAAACGGCCGTAATTTTAGTCCGATTTCAATATTTTTCAATGTTTTGCTTTTATGTGGCCGTTTTCGTATTTCTGAAAACTACCGTTATATGGAAGGTTGGCGTGGTTATTGTCCGATTTTGCCCATTTTCAATACCATCCGTCCTATGCTCAAAAGAAGTTTCGTTAAGATATCTCTATTTTTACTTAAGACTTAAGAGGAAGAATCAAGAAATAAGAAAATGAAGTAAGAAGAATTTAGAATAAGATAGGGAAGAAGAAGAAAGAACAGGAAGAATGAAGAAGAAAGAACAAAAAGAAGAACTAATAGGAAGAATGAAAAAGAAAAACCAAGAAGAAGAGATAGCAGGAAGAAGAAGAGGAAATAATAAGAAGAAGAAAGAACAAGGGAAAGAAATAACAGGAAGAATGAAGAAGAAGGATAAGGGGAGAAGGGAAAGAAAAAGGAAGAANGTCCGATTTTGCCCATTTTCAATACCATCCGTCCTATGCTCAAAAGAAGTGCACGAACCGAGTTTCGTTAAGATATCTCAATTTTTACTCAATTTATCGTGTGCACAGACGGACGGACGGACGGACAACAGTCACCGCTTAGTCGATTTCTCTTTTCATTCTAATCATTTATGTATACATTTGTTACTTATTACAAACAACCGTTATGTGAACAAAATTAATATACCCTTGTGCACAAGTGCGTTCGAGTATAAAAAGAAAAAGGAGAAGAAAGAGCGGGAAGAATGAAGAAGACTGAAAATGAAATAAGAAAGAGGAAGAATCAAGAAATAAGAAAATGAAGTAAGAAGAATATAGAATAAGATAGGGAAGAAGAAGAAAGAATAGGAAGAATGAAGAAGAAAGAACAAAAGGAAGAACTAATAGGACGAATGAAAAATAAAAACCAAGAAGAAGAGATAGCAGGAAGAAGAAGAGGAAATAATAAGAAGAAAGAACAAGGGAAAGAAATAACAGGAAGAATGAAGAAGAAGGATAAGGGGAGAAGGGAAAGAAAAAGGAAGAGCGAGAATAAATAAGAAAAGAAAGGAAGAAGAAGAATAAATAAGAAAAGAAAGGAAGAAGAATAAATAAGAAGAAAAAGGAAGAAGAAGAGTAAATGGAAAGAAGAAGAAAAAATAAAATAGAAATAAAAAGGAAAATNAAGAAAAGAAAGGAAGAAGAAGAATAAATAAGAAAAGAAAGGAAGAAGAATAAATAAGAAGAAAAAGGAAGAAGAAGAGTAAATGGAAAGAAGAAGAAAAAATAAAATAAAAATAAAAATAAAAAGAAAAAGAAAAAGAAGAAGAAAAAGAAAAAGAANAAGAAAAAGAAAAAGAAAAAGAAAAAGAAAAAGAAAAAGAAAAAGAAGGAAAAAGTAAAATAAAAAGAAAGAGAAAAATAAAAAGTAAAAAAATGAAAAAGAAAAAAAGAAAAAGGAGAAGAAAAAAGAACCACCTGTAGGNAAGAAGAAGAAGAAGAAGAAGAAGAAGAAGAAGAAGAAAAAGAAAAAGAAGGAAAAAGAAAAATAAAAATAAAGAGCAAAATAAAAAGAAAAAGTAAACAAATGAAAAAGAAAAAGGAGAAGAAAAAAGAACCACCTGTATCAAAATGGGAAAGTTAATAAATTCAGAATATTAGCTTTCGGTTATCAATTAAATGCTCTTTGTATCAAATGCCCATAAAAGCAGAACCATTTTGTCGCAACACACTGATAAAACTAGGAAAAGTCACAGCGCCAATATGTGGGCAATAAAATTGCATACTTACATACATAAATATGTTTGTATGTACATATCAACGTACTTTTGTGCACACATACACAAATTTTCACTTGCGTTAAATTGCAATTAACTACCTCCTTATAACGTACTCGCCAAGTTACCGCTCCCTGGAGTACATTGTATTGTTATTGCAAATAAATTCTTCTTTTAATGACTCAAAAATGACTCCGCTGCCGGCATGTGTCAATGCACTTACTTACCAACATATTTCACTTTTTTATAATCCTTCCGACTCGTCTACAGTAGTTCATGGCAATAAAATCCCATGAAAAGCGACTCATTTGCGATCCAAAACTTAATTTAATGATGCTAAAACACAAGTGGTAGGCACATATATCGCCAAGTGACATCGTTAGAACTATGCGACGACATATACCNGTAGTTCATGGCAATAAAATCCCATGAAAAGCGACTCATTTGCGATCCAAGACTTAATTTAATGATGCTAAAACACAAGTGGTAGGCACATATATCGCCAAGTGACATCGTTAGAACTATGCGACGATATATACCCATACATATGTACATTAGACTGCATCACTCCCCATACAAAAAAAAAAAAAAAATCGGTACTATTTTTCCATTGGAATTATAAAATCTACTATATTTTAAGACGTCCACCAAAATATTTCGGAAAAATATTAAGACAATTGAGCTGGACCGATTTGAAAATACCTCCAAAAATGTTTTTTTTTATGAATAAAAATAGTTTCTTAAAGATTTCTTTTGAAAAAATCCCCTCAAATGACAAAACGGCTTAAGCTTAAAATATTTGCATAAAAATATTAAAAAAAATTTTTTTTTTAAATTTTAACGGAATCGTAATGATGATGCTGTTTTTAGCATTTTTCAAAGATTGGTATAAGAAAAACTTGAATAACTGAACCTAAACTCTTCCGATTTAGACTTAAGAGGTGTCATTGGAAAGTTATTTTCTCACCCTTTTCATTTATTTGCTAATAAACTTATTCAAAGGATGGAAGAGAAAGGTAGGAGAAACGAACCTCATTCAAAGTTGAATTAAGATCTTTGGTATTCGAAAAAAAAGATGGGACACGAATGACGCTTTTTTGGCCAGAAATAAAAACGGTGTGAAAATACCTTTCTACTGAGATCCCGTAGGTCTAAATCAGAACATTTTTGGTCCAGTTATTCAAGTTTTTCGTAAATCAATCTTTGAAAAAAGTAAAAAAACAGCATCAAAAATCTCATTCTTACGATTCCATTGAAAAGATTTTTAAATATTTTTATGCAGATTTTTTAAGCTTATTCCAATTTGTCTTCTGAGGGGACTTTTTAAAAAATGTTCTTTAAGAAACTATTTTTATTCATAAAAAACTTCATTTTTGGAGGTATTTTCAAATCGGTCCAGCTCACTTAGATCTTAATATTTTTACGAAATATTTTGGTGGACGTCTTAAAATATAATAAATTTAGTAATCCCGGCGGAAAAACCGCAACTTTTTTTGGTGATGCAGTCTAATGTACATATGTATGTACATTTCTATGTGTATGTTTTCATTATTGTTAACTTGTGCCAACAAAATTTTTATTAGTCATTTGGTAATAGGGGAAATTTCTTGCTCATTACCGTTAAGTATTTGTTGCTGCACAGTGAAAAGAAATTCGAGTTGCCATTTTATTAGGCACTCTATGGAACTGATTGTCCAGAGGTTACGTAATTGATTCGGTTTTTTCGACGCTGTTATACTAAGATAGGTTAGGTTAGGTAATGACAGAGTGGTTGCACGGCTGAAAAAGCCAGTTGTGATACGACTGGCGGAAAGCATTTCTTTCTTTCTTTCCCTTAGCAATTAACCACCGAATGCATTTTAAGCAGCGCAAAAAAATCGAGAGTGTTACCTGAGTTCAGGTCGATCGGCTAAACAATTTAAAAAGTATTTACTCGTTGAAGAATTGGTTGCGCATCTTGCCCTGGGTGGGACACCGGAAGAGACAGCGTTCCATGCTCGCCAACTTCTTCTCGTGTCTGAAGTTGCAACAAAACCTCTTTCCAAGCGTGCCCATAATGCAATGCCCATTTACCACCCCGTCTACTACTCTGAGAGAGGAGCAGTCAAATCGAGTGAGAGCGTTAGATCGCTTTACATCAACTTTGGGCCAAATACTTATGTCTGCTTGTGTGACAGCTGGTTTCCACGGCCCACGGTGCATTCCGCTGCATATTCTTTCGTTTAGCTTGGAACTATTTGTTTAGACACACGTCGACTCTAAGTCTATGTCTGTGAGGCCTTCTTATTCGTACTTCTCTGACATTTTAATGTTGTCTAAACACGGTAGTTTTATAGATTTGTCCGCAGAGTTGCCAGGACCATTACGTATTTGGCTTTGTCCACCGCTTGTTTTATTCCTATAGCCTT